CGCTGGATAGAGCACGTTATGCATATGCCAGATACAAGAATCCCCAAGCAGGTCTTTCTTAGTCAGCTAGCGTCGGGAAATAGACTGGCAAGTGGCCCTGTACGCAGATACAAAGACAGCCTTAAAGAAAATATGAAAAAATGTGGTCTAGACCCCAAGGCTCTTTGTGTTGATGCTCTGCGACGCTCGGAATGGAGAAGGTCTACCCAGTCGGCGGTTTCAGCTTTTGAACTGGCACGCACAGCTGCTCTCGCTGAAAAAAGGACTCGACGAAAACAGACGGCTCAAAGTTCAAAAATGGTATGTATGTATGTATGTATGAGAAAACATGGAGGAGGCGTTGGTTTCTACATCAAACAAAATCTTCATTATAAAATTCGTGATGACATAACAAATGTAAATGATGAAATTGAATTTTTTGTTGTAGAAATCTTGAATAAACCTGCCGTAAAAAATGTATTAATGATTGTGATCTACCGACCACCATCGCATGATGTTGAATCTTTCTTCAACTGTTTGGAACTGTCCAACAATGAAAACAAATCGATTATTCTGACAGGAGACTTCAACATCGATTTGTCAAATGCAAACAACAATAACAATAAAATAAATTTCTTACAGCTTTTGATCAGCTACAACTTACAACAAACAATATCTACTCCTACAAGAATTGAATACAACCGACAATCCATTATCAACAACATTTCCACAAATATCTCTGAAAGCATTGTAACATCAGGAGTTATTACCCACCATCTTTCTGATCATTTGCCAATTTTCTCCATTTTTAATCAAACAAATAATGTCCAACAAAAAAACAAAGCTAAAGTACCTTCAGAAAAATTTTCATACTCATCTAAACGAATCAATGATCTGAACGAACAAGACTAGCAAGCGGTATACAACATAAAAACGTTGATGAAGCATTCTAAACTTTTATAAGTTTGTTTCAAAAAAGTTTCTATGAAAGCTGTCAAATCACCAATCGTAAAATCATCTCGAAATCACTAAAAGACAAACCGTGGGTCACTTCAGAATTGAAAAACTTAATCAAAAAACGAAATAAAAGCTACAATAAATATATCTTAAATTCCAATCCATATAACTTAAATAAATTCAAATACTTCAAAAAAGCATGTTATAAATTAAATAGAGTTTAAAAAAACATTATTACTACTCTCTTTTTGAAAAATATAAAAAAGACTGTAAAAAAAACATGGGCCACCTTGAGTGAACTGAAAAATGGGAAGAACATACAGGAGAGTGTGCATCAAATAACGAAAGAAGATTCTGAAATATCAGATCCAGCAAATGTTTTGAACAATCAATCATTTCGTCAACTTAGCACCGAACTTATTGCAGTCGATCACACAAAATTCCCACTGGAAGAATTATTTTAAAACGTCTGTATCAAGTTCATTTTTCTGTAGATACGTCACAGCAAATGAAACCATCGCAGCAACAAAATCTCTGAAGCAAAAAAAACATCAAGCGGTTTCGACAACATACCATCAGAAATCGTCGTCTCCACAATCCATTCAACTGCTTCTGTTTTAGAATATTTGATAAATCTGTCCTTCGAAATAGGTTCATTCTCAAGTTGCTTCAAAATTGCGAAAATAATCCCTGTTGAAAAAGTTAAAAAAAAGTACAGATTTATCAAATTTTCGACCAATAGCTTTTCTGCCTACCACCTTTTCGAAAATTTTGGAAAAAAATCATGCATCAACGAATGAGTAGTTTTTTACAAAAAAACAAAATTTTATCAAATTGTCAATTCGGCTTCAGAGAAAAAATACTCAACAGAACTAGCAATCGTAGAGTTGATTCGGAAAATTGGTTTCCTTGCCGAATGTAAGAAATATATAATCGGCAGATGCTTGGATCTATCCAAAGTATTTGGTTGCATCAACTACAACATCATGTTGAAAAAGCTTGAAAAGTATGGCTTCAAAAGCACGACACTCCAATGGCTACGAAGTTATTTGACGGGAAGAAAACAATTCGTTTGTGTGAATAACGAAACCTCTGGCATGCTCAACAACAACCATGGTGTCCCTCAAGGTAGCATCCTGGGTCTGTTGTTGTTCATCCTCTACGTGAACGATTTACCAACTGCATCAACGTTCTTCGATTACATCATTTACGCGGATGATACAAACGTCTTCAGTAGCGGCAAATCAATCAACCAGCTCATTGAAAACATAAACGAAGAGTTGAAAAATATCGTCTGTTGGTTCGAAGCCAACAAATTTACGATAAATTTATCAAAAAGCCAGGTAATGATTCAATACCTCAACTACAAAGAACCCTACAAAATCAAGTTAGGTGATGATACAATTGAAAAAACGAAACGCTTGAAATTTTTAGGCGTTTATTTTGAGTCAAAACTTTCGTTCAAACGCCACACAAAATATATTGCAAATAAGTTATCAAAGACAATAGGAATGATAAATAAAGTAAAATCATTCTTTCCTAGGAAATGTCTGAACTTGCTGTACAATTCTCTGTGCACGCCGTTGATAACTTACTGTAACACAATCTGGGCGTCATCGTATCACGCAACCACGATGCCAATAGAACGTTTGATGAAACGAGCAGTTAAAATTGTGACAGGATCAAAACGAAAGGGCCACAGTCAACCGCTCTTCAACATAACGCATAATATAAATTTTTCGAAGTTGAACATATATTTTGAGATGATCTTCGTGTACAAACAGTTGACGAACAGATTGCCAGAGTTGTTTCAAGATTATTACAGGATGAAAAAGCAATCTCGAAAACCCAACAATCTCGTCTCTAACAAATCGAAAACGAACATCATGTTTTCACACATTTTTTGTAAAGGGCCAAGAACTTGGAACGAAATCGTAAACAGCGGTTTCGATGTTGATTTAAATTCATTGCATAGTTTTAAAATAAAACTGAAGAACTATCTAATTAAACATACGTGACTGTCATAATCTTACTCACAAATGCTATACTATATAAATACTATATAGACATGGAAAACTTATATAACTTTTTTGATTAAAAACTGCCAATTTTTACTTATTTATGTTATTCTATTTATACTATTGAATAATTTTTGTTATATGATTCATGAAATAGAATTATTATTTTATTTACTGAACATTTTTGTTTAAACACGGAACATTTCTGATTAGGTGGCCATACAAAAATTTCTATACAAATTCTATTATGGTCTTCCTGCTTTCTTATTATTTTTGAGTATTGAGAAGCAAATAAAATTTCGTTTCGTATGTATGTATGTATGCATGTATGTAATGTATGTATGTATTATTATTTGGAAACTTATAAAGCGCCGATTATAACACTTACAGTTGTTCTCATAGGCGCTGTTATGCTTTATAAAAGAAGCAAGTTTTTAAAATTCATATTCGAAACAAGCGTGTTTCAAGTGTTTTGAACTGACCCAGTGATAATCCAGTTTGACGCAAGCAACAAGGAAGAGCATTCCAAACAGATGGACCACTGCAGAGAAATTACGCGAACCAATCTTAAGCTTGTGACCAACGTATCTTATCACTACTTGATCTCAAATCATAGTCACTCAACACCTCCTTTGTTTGCAAACATCTATCAGCCAAATATTTGGCTGCCAAATTGTTCAGACATCTAAAAACCATAACAGCAATTTTAAAAATAATTCTCTTATGAAAAGGCAGCCAGTGGAGGCAGCCAGTGTATGTATTTATGTATGTATTTATGTATGTATGTACCAGCCAATGGTTAAAAGCAACAGTCATAAAAACCATCATTTTGCCCAACTCGCTTGCTAATGTTAGTTTATGGGTTTATGTAATGTGTGTATGTATGTATGTTTGTTTGTATGTATGTATGTATGTATGTTTATTGGTTTTTATGTATGTATGCATCAATCAATCTTCGTTTTGCGTCCAGAGACCCGGTTTCCGGAGGTAGGACGTTGTTTCCTTTGCCATCAACTTTTTGCGCCAAATTAAACGATCAGTTGTATCCATTTCATTTAAATTTAGAGCTTTCATGTTCTGCTCGAGTGTTTGCGACCAGGACTTCTTTGGATGACCTTTGGGACGTGTGCCAGGTACTTCAACATCTGCAAGAGAAGTTATGGCACTGTTTCCACTTCGTTTGACATGACCAAACCACCGCAGACGGTGTTGCCGGCATTCGTCCTTTATATCGTCTAAACCAGCACGACGCAGGATTTCGGTAGATTTGATGTGGTCCTTCAGACTAATTCGTTGCATCCATCGGATTTTTATGTCGGTTCGTGGATATACTAGATTCCAAATGTCACCAGTGCGTATCGGTTTTGTGATTTCTTCCATCACAGTTATAAATAACAGTGGACTGAGAATCGAGCCTTGGTGAACTCCAACGCCGATGTCAAATGCACCTGTGTTCCCAACCGTTGTGCTGACAAGAGTCTTAGTATTCGTATACATTTCCATCACAAGTCGGACAAGATATTCTGGAATGAGTTGTCGACGTAGACTCCACCTGATTGCTTCACGGGGAGCTCGATCAAATGCTTTTTCAAGGTCTACAAAATTGTGTGATAGTTGTTGATGCTTTGCGAGGTACTTCTCTTCCAGTTGCCGAAGGATGTGAATTGCATCAATTGTTGATTTCCCAGCTAGGAAACCTAATTGTATGTATGCATGCATGTATGTATGATAAGCTGTTTCGTAAATATATTCCCTCCAAGTTCAAATTTTTTTTAAACAAAAATTATTGCTATTGTTTATTCCTTTTTCTTTGAACTTGCTTTTCGTGCCATCTTGTCGCGCGAGGCCTCTCGTGCCGGCTCTGATCAACTTCTGATGCATCTGGCGACTATTCTGATGAGCGCATACGTAAATGTTAATTATACTATAAAATTTAGAAAAATGAGGATCTTTTTTGAGAAAAAGGGGCTTTTAAATTTTGCTTATTGAAGATATTTACTGTATTTAAGTTGAAACTGAATATGATTGAATGTATAATTTTTCAAGGGCCCTGCAGCCACCAGGTTGGAAGCCTGAGTGGCACATTGGTGTCAGAGTACAAAAAAGTTCCAAACTCATTGGATTTATTAGTGCCATTCCTGCCCACATCAGGGTTTATCATCAGTTAGTTTTTATTATTTTCATCAAGGTCATTACTATATGCATTCATTTACTGATTTATATGCATAGTCTACACATCTCTGCTCAATTCATTCTTATTACAGTTATTCTCTTTATAATTACTTTACGAAGTATCATAACAATTTAATTAGAGGTATTTTTTGTATTTCTGTTGATAAATCTGTAATGCAAAAATTGTTTTTCATTATTCAACCAAAGCATATATAATAATTCTTTTGATTGATGAATGTGAATCCATTTTATTTAAATAACATTTCGAGCTGTCTATCTGCATTCTTTACCACCCTCCATCCTGTTTGCTGTTATACATTTGTTGTTCGAAGTTTCTCATAAAACTTTAGAACTAAATATAAATAGTTGATGTGAAAGGTTGTAGTTGGATTGGAGATGCATCAAGTTGAAAATGCAGTGATAAGAGTTTTATTTGGTGATCTTCAAATTATCTAAAGTAGTAACGTACATTTATGGAGGCTTAAGGCTTATAAGCTTATGATAGTATTTATAGATGAAAAAAAAATACAAAAAGATTGAAAATTGTGTTTGTTAGTGCATGGCATAGTATTAACTAAAAGAAAAGAAAAATAAAATATGCAGTTTGATTTTACTCTATGGATAAAAATTAAAAGAAAAGATGCAGTTTTTTTTGTCTTTAGCCAGGAAAAAATCTTGTTTTATGGGAACTCTTTCACTGTAATGTAATGCAAAAGAAGGTCAATCAAATGTGGCAGTCGGGTAATCAAGTAAAATGTTTGTTTGAAAGGGTAAGGTCATTTGAAAAGGTGAGGTCGTGTGAAGATGTGAGAACATTTTGAAATAATGTCATCACTTGAAATGGTGTGATTATTTGAAAAGGTGTAAATAACGTATTCAAAAATTTAAGGTTATTTGAATGATATTGTTCATTTTAAAAAGTATTGTATTGAATGAGTGATGTCATTTGATGGTGTGTAAGATTTGTAAGATGGTGTGTTTGATTGTGTGTAGTTATTTAAAATCGAGATGTCATTTAAGAAGGTGAGGTCATTTGAAAGAGTATAATGCAATCATTTGAAAGAGTATAATGCAATCATTTGAAAGAGCTTAATGCAATCATTTGAAAGGGTGTGGTCTTTTTAACAAATTTACGTTAGGGAATACAATCAGAATATGGACACATAAACTATTTCCTTTTCTAGTCAAGCAGTTCATCCATTTAGCTACTTATTTTTTAAATCAGTTAAATTTTATTTCTAATTACTTTACAGCAAACAGTTGATGGTGGAAATAAACTTTTTGTGTGTTCACAAGAAATTGAGGGCGAAACGAGTGGCTCCTGTTTTAATCAGGGAGGTGACAAGAAGAGTCAACTGTTTTGGCATTTTTCAGGCTGTATATACTGCTGGGGTCGTTCTGCCAAAGCCTGTGTCTTCCTGCAGGTTTTTATTGCTTTTATTCATTATAGCTTATTTCAGTGCATTGCGCTTTTGCTCAGGTGCCGATTTAATGTACTACTTGAGACCCCAGTTTTGATACTTGCACATGTGGCTTTGCTTTTTATTTGTATTTATATTTAGAAATATTTTTAAAAATATTCGATAAAATAAAATAATTTAATTATTGGCGTAATTTACAGTGATCCTATTTCCACCTTCTCGATGCTTCGACCTTCTTGATACTTCGACCTTCTTGATGCTTCGACCTTCTTGATGCTTCGACCTTTTTGATACTTCGACCTGCCTGATGCTTCGACCTTGATGCTTCGACCTTCTTGATGCTTCGACCTTCTTGATGCTTCCACCTTCTTGATGCTTTGACCTTCTTGATGCTTCCACCTTCTTGATGCTTTGACCTTCTTGATGCTTCCACCTTCTTGATGCTTCGACCTTCTTGATGCTTCCACCTTCTTGATGCTTTGACCTTCTTGATGCTTCCACCTTCTTGATGCTTCGACCTTCTTGATGCTTCCACCTTCTTGATGCTTCGACCTTCTTGATGCTTCCACTTTCTTGATGCTTCAACCTTTTTGATACTTCCACCTTCTTGATGCTTCTCTATTCTTGATCATTACAAGTTATTGATTATAAGAAATATTTGTAATGGGCAATTACCTGTTAAAAAGTGGAAGAAAATTTTTGAATTATTATTTTGTATAGCTTTATCATCCTTTAATTTTTTTTTAATTTTCATTCCAACAAGATTGGCCCACCATTTTTCAACTTTGATCGGCAGCAGTTTCACAAATAACATTTTTTTTAATTCAATAATTATGTTACCGGCAGTAGTATTATTGAATATATCTGCCATTGCAGGAAATTAGTTTTAACTTAATTCCTTTATGTAGTTGTGATTGCAGTTCAATTTTTAATGAAGGTGCATTGACTGAGGGCTCTCAAAAAATTTGAAACCATCCCAAAAAACAATCGATGATAGCAAATAGCTTAATAAATTAACTTTTTACAATTTATAAAAAACCATGACTTAATTAAATAAAATATCGGACTGTTCTATTAAATCATATGCATATAATCGCACATACATCACCCGTTTCGATAAAAAAAAGTCATCAAACAAACCTGGAACTTAATAGAAGAATGTCTCAACCATGTTGTACTCCAACTCCCACAGCAACATTGCACTCTGACGGCAGCATGGACTCTGATAAAAAAACTATTTTAATAATGCTTGAAATAAAAGTACTTGTGCTTGAAAACATTTATCTCTGATACATTTACATAATCTCACCAAACATTCTCCCTACTGCCTTTTTATAAAGTTTATTCAAAATTTATTGTCCTGGTTATGACATTAAACTGACCCTCACTGCCTTGTGAGTGATGTTGGATCATCAAAGGCTAGGCCCACCGCTTATAACTGGTTTGCGTAAGGAAGGGCGTCCTGCTTAAAAACTAGCCAAAAAATAATACTTATGATGACGGAAATAACAATGGCCCTCAGTATCCGGCAGAAGAGGGTGCGAAGAATCTCCGGAGACCCAGTCCATGGGGTTGTGGTGCAAGGCCCTGTGGACGGTCTGGCTACTGGCACCCCATTCTATACTGTGGCGGTGCAAGAAACTATAGATGGAAGGACTACTTGTAGACCAAGGGGTTGGAGGTTTGGTACCTGGAATGTAGGCACGTTGGCAGGAAGAAGTTTGGAAGTGGTGGAGGAGCTGCAGAGAAGAATGGTTGACGTGGCTGCATTACAGGAGATCAGATGGAAGGGTGAGGGTACAAGGTTTGTGGGGGCTAAAGGTGGAAGATATAAGTTGTGGTGGAAGGGGGATGATGGTACGGGAGGAGTTGGTGTGATGGTAAGAGAAGAGTTGGTGGGGAAGGTGTTAGAAGTGAGGCGGAGAAGCAATGGTGTAATTGTGGTGGTGATGGTGTTTGGAAAAGTAATAGTGAGGGTGATATCAGGATATGCTCCGCAACAAAGTAGGAAGGAAGAGGAGAAGGATAGGTTTTATGATGATGTTTCTGACGAGATTGGGCAAGCGGGGTTATCCAAGTTTGTGGTGTTGTTGGGTAATTTGAATGGTCATGTGGGAGCGGATGCAGACGGATATGAAGGTGTACATGGGGGATGGGGATATGGTATACGGAATGAGGAAGGGCGTAGAGTGTTGGAGTTGGCGGATGCACATAGCATGGTGATGGGGAATACCTGGTTTACAAGGGAACCAGCGCGATTGATTACATATAGGTCAGGGGAGCATAGGTCAATGATAGACTATATATTGGTAAGGGCCAAACATAGGAAGTATGTGAAGAATGTGAAGGCGATACCTGGTATGCTGCAGCATAGTATGGTTGTGATGGATGTGACATCAAAAGAAATTGGGAGGAGGAAGAAGGATAAGTTTGTGGCAAAGAGAAAGACATGGAAGTTGCAGGATGCAGAGGTGAGGAAGGCATTTGAAGTGAAGGTGGCTGAAAATTGGGAGAGTGGTAAGGATGGAGATGTTTGGGAGAGATACAGGGACTGTGTGTTGGCTACGGCAGATAAAGTATGTGGATGGACGAAAGGAAAGTGTAGGCATGGTGAGACGTGGTGGTGGGATGAAGATATAAGAACGGTTTTGGAGATCAAGAAGGAGAGGTTTAGGGTATGGAGAAGGGACATGACGGAGGAAGCGGAGTCTGAGTATAGGAAGGCTAAGAAGGTTGCAAAACAGGCAGTGGCAACTGCAATGACGAAAGCATCAGATAGGTTAATGAAGGAAATGGAATTTGATGTGAGTTCGAGGAAAATGTTCAAAGTAGCAAAGCAGTCAATGAGGGATAGGAAAGATATTATAGGGAATGGATATGTTTGGGATGGATCTGGCAAGTTGTGCATAGATGAGGAGGAAAAAGCTCAGGTGTGGAAAGCTCATATGGAAAGGTTGATGAATGAAGAGAATGAGTGGGATGGAGATGTGGAATCCGCGGTCACACACGGACCTATAGAGAAGGTGACGATGGAGGAAGTAGAGAAAGCAGTTAGAGAAATGAAACTAGGTAAGGCTACAGGGGTTTCGGAAGTGGCGGCAGAATATTAAAAGCGAGTG